ATAAATATATAAAGAGATTAATTTAATAAACATGAGATCCAACTCAATATAAAGATACCCAACTTGATAAAAAATGGCAATGGCACTGTAAGCAATAGATAACTTTTCCACTAAAAACAGATGAAAACTTTAGAAGACATATATCCAGTCTTATTTAAAAAAGAAACTGCAGCCCTAATCGATTTGGCTCAGCAGATAGAGTGTCGGCCTGCGGACTGAAGGGTCCCAGATTTGATTCTGGTCAAGGGCATGTACCTGGGTTGCGGGCACATCCCCAATAGGGGGCGTGCAAGAGGCAGCTGAATCGATGTTTCTCTCTCATCGATGTTTCTAACTCTGTATCCCTCTCCCTCTCCCTTCCTTTCTGTAAAAAATCAATAAAATATATTTTAAAAAAAGAAACTTCAGACTACCTAGGAATAAGGATGAATTTTTAAACATAAAAATTTGTTTTTTGTTCAAGAGTAGTTTTCAATATTTCTTAAATCTTATTAAGGTGATCAACCCATCCTGGGACCATTTTGCCAGAAGTTCTATAGTTTTAGCACTTAAAGTTCCTTCTCTAAGGAGTTCCACAGTCTTGGGTATACCAGGATGGTTGGTCATGCTAATCCAAACAAGTTCAAAAGTGTTTATTGATATAGGTTACTGTGCACAAGGCCTTTGTTTTGTTTTATATATTGAAAAAACTACTGAAAATAAGCAGTATTTTTAAAGATGGTGTTTGATGATGGAACAGTAGAAAAATTAAAAGAAACTTTTAGATTTTTTTTTACAATTTAAAAAAGTTATATTTAATAAAAACAAAGGAATGTTAAGAAAGTTGTTAGAAGGCTACACAAAAGAACATTTGTGGAGATGGAATAAGGGAATGAGAGTAGTGAAAAAACATGAACTTTTCATTTAACTTTCCATTGCACTGGTTTACCATGAACATCTGCTATTTTTATAATATAGTTTTTATACTTTAAACAACAAACTAAAGTAATCAACTGAATTTAGCTGCTAAAGAAAATTTATCTTATCCCTCAGGTGGTTTGGGGCAGAACACTTGAAACTTACTGATTTCTATCAAATGAAGACCAGGGTGAATCAATGACTTGCTTGCACATATACTTTAAAGGTTAGGACCCAGGACTTCATTGGGGACCCAAAGGCAGAAGTCTCTTCCAACCATTCCCTGCTTCAGAGGGAATAAATAAATATGATATAAAGATATGGTTCATCACCTCTGAACATTTTGAAGTCCCTAAAGTTAAGCAGCTCAGGGGTGAAAGACCATATAGAGGCCCAGATCAGCAAAGAACTGTCCAGTCATGTCACTGTTGTTGAAAACCACTAAGTTTTGGAGTATCTTGTTATGCAACCCTAAGTAACTGATAAAATCTACTTAAAAAAATTGTTGTCTCAGAACTGTCCAGAGGCAAGCATGCTATTACAATTCTGCTTTCTGATATGGTGCAAAATATCCCTTTTAAGAAATATTTGAACTTAAAAAAAAAAAAAGCCAAAAACCCAACCACAAGCTAAGCTGAATATTTAACACATTCTGTAGGAATGAACAAAGATTAGAATTTTATAATATACACTAGAGACCCCGTGCACAAAATTCATGCACTGAGGGGGTGGGGGAGGGTCCTTCAGTTTAGCCTGTGCCCTCTCGCAGTCCAGGATCCCTCTTGTAGTCTAGGACCCCTCGCTCCTTACCACTTGCCTGCTCGCTGCTCCCTACCTCTTGGCTCACTGTTCCTTAGCACCACCGCAGCTGCGCTAGCCAGCTGTGAACCCGGTTCCTGGCTGAGCGACGCTCCCCATGGGAGCGCACTGACCACTAGGGACAGCTCTGTGTTGAGCATCTGCCCCTTGGTGGTCAGTGCGCATCATAGAGACTAGTCGTTCCACGGGTCCTTCAGTAGTTTGGTTGATTTTCGTATTAGGCTTTTATTATATAGGATTTGTGTGAGCTCTTATATGTTAAAGATACTAAGTATTTATCGGATATTTGCTGCAAATACATTTTTCCCAGTCTGTCTTTTAAAATCTAGGCTCATTAGCAATTTCCCCTGTAGCCACATGGACTCCTTCCATAGATAATTTCTATGTTATTTTTATTGCTATAATTTCTTTTTTTAAGAGTCTCTTATTCTCGTTGAGTTATGTTTTCTTCTAGTTTGCAGCCATGGGACCATAATGGCTTCACCTCTAACTTTATTGTTTAAAATATGTTTTCATTTATTTGTGAGAGAGGAAGAAAGAGAGAAAGATTGAACCACAAAGAGGGAAGGCAGCGGTATTGCCCCGGGGACCCAGGGAGCACATGCTGGGACCGGCTGGACTCCTGACCCTCAAGGGTTTCATATTGCAGAGCCATCTTGCCTGGGAATCCGGAATCCGAGTTCTCCCAGGGATCCCAGGACACAGAGCAGGCAATTTCCACACCTACCTACGCTGCTAGTTAAACACGGGTTCGTAAGCCCAAGGAGGGCAGGGGCAGATAATCACAGTGGCAAAGTGAGGCTTAGCACCTGTCAAGCACCGGGCTGAGAGCCTTATGTGCACAATCTCATGCACACCTGTAACATTCCACTGAGGCTGGTACTATTATCATACCCATTTTATAGATGAAGAAACAGAGACTCAGAGAGGTTACACAGGTCTAAGTGGCGGAGTCTGTGTGACTCCAAAGTCACCATGCCCCTCTGCTACCCCCAACCCTTGGGTGGGTGGCGTTGCTAAGTCCAGCTTTTCTCTCCCTCTTGCTCTGGGACACCCGATGATCAACAGGGTTGAGTAGAGGAGGAGAGACAGGGCTCCGAGGAACCCAACAGGGGACCTGGCCATTATTTCTCTAGAGCCCAGTGATAAAGAATCAATAAGGAAAAAGACTTGCCGTTTCCAGACTGTTCTATTGTATCTTCTTCCCACTAATGGAAACTGGTTTGCGCCACATGTGGCTGGCGAGCCGCAGTTTGCCGACCACTGCCCTAGGCTATTATTAGTACAGATTAGACATTTATGTAAAAACTGTTCCATTTTTCCCAAAGAAATATCCTCAATTTCTTATCTTTGTTATTTTCTTCAGAGCAATAACCTGTAATTTCTACTCTCGCAGATAAGGGGCTCCACTGTGTTGGGCAGTTATTATAAGTTTATGTTACAAGTCATTATCACCTCCAAACACTCCCTTTCATTTTACTGCACAGGCTCACTGTACTGTTTCATAGTAAAAATATACTCCACTCAAATTCAAAGAGCCTGAACAGAAGCTAGAAGCCCAAGGATGTTTAGGTACTGATTTAGTAACAATGTCTACTGGCACAAACCTCCTATTTATTCATATTATTAGAGCTATGTTAATGAAAAAGGAACTGGGGAATGAGATCATTACACATAACTAAATACATTCTAAATATAAATACCATGTATTTCCTAATTAATATCAAGTAAATATCTAAACCATCCATCTCAAATTCTGGTCTAAAAGAAAAAGGTCAGAGACAATTACAAAGAAGGCGCTTCACATTATTAGGTCTATTTTGAAAACGATGAGGTCTTCTGGGACAATCACTTTAGTCTTTTTTATCAGAGATTTCTGTTGATCCTTGTGTTGGTAATATATTTATGTCTGCACCCTTATAGTCTACTTTGCTTTTGCTTGTATCGTTGGATTCTTACATAGCTTTTCTAGGCCATATGCGACTAACAAAGGGGGAAATCAGAGGGCATACGTAGGGCTCTAGGAACTTTTTGTAGACCCAGAGCAGAACTGGAATGACAATACAAGGAATGCACACCATTGTCCCAGGTGTGAACTCCTGTTCCTCGACCACCAAGACTAAGTGGAAAATCGAAAATTTTAAATTTTTAATGTGAAGTAAAGGAGCATGCATCAATTATAGTGAACTATACCCCATAACCTTTTGTTTTTAATAGAAAAAAAGTAAACACTAACAAGGTGATAGGAGTGAAAAAATCCTAGATTTTCAGTTAATCTAAATAAAATGACAAAAATATAGTGTTTTCGTTTTACAAATAAGTAAAAGCAATAATACTGTAATAAAAACATTTTAAAAATCTGGAATCAGAGGGGGAAAAGATTGAGTCATCAAATGATGCATCAGCTTGATTTGTCTCACATGCCTTGAAATGATCAGGATATCAAAAATTAACCATGGGGAAAACATAAGTAAATAGAAACATAAAAAGACAATACATGAATGAATAATTTAAAAAATAACCCAATAAAGAAAATTTCTTAGTATCATGTGATAACAAAATTAAAAATATATATATATATAACACTAACTAAGGGTATGTATACCAATGAGGCAAAAATTAACTATTATCAGAGAGTTACTCAATTCTTAGTTTTGCTCATCAAAAAATACCCTTTTTTCCCCTTCAAATAAAAACATAATTCAAACTTCTGCGAACAAAACAGAGGTGCACTACTAGGGTAACTCGGGTAAAATGCTTTGTTTTTGTTGAATTATCTCGATTAAAAGAAAAAAAAATCAGTCTTAGATTCATGCACAAAAGAAACCCCCAAACAACAGGTAACCACGGCTACTTTAGAAAAAGAGTAATTATACAAGAAAACAAATTTAGTTCAAGGAAATAAACATTTTAAGAAGTCTCATTTAAAAATAGTAAAAAAATAAAGTGAAAATGTTAATTGTACCTTAAAGAACCCTGCTTCAGGGCCACACCTGTCATATATACTCCTGGATTTACCTATCGCCATGATAATACCTTGCATGTTCGGTGTCATCATGATCTGCCACAAGGGATTGAAAGTTAAGAGTTTTTGAATGAGTAACATAAAAAATTTAAAAAAACAAAATAATTACATGCAAGTTAGAAGTCCTTTGCTTTTCATTACTTATAAATCAAACGTTGCATTTTTTATAGCAAACGTGATTCAGTATGCATGTAAGTATATTTCAAAATCTCTATAGGGCCACATCTAGTTCATATGGTGCCTTTGTGCAAAAAGCAAAAAGGCATCCTCTCTGAACCAAACAATTTTAAAAAGAGCCCCTTCTTGACCAATTAGAAAAATGTGCTGCTCTCTGAATGAGAGAACCATTTAGAAATAGCAACAATCTTTTTATTTTAAAAGGTGCTTCTTCATTAAGGTTCGGGGAGCTCAGTAAGCATAAGCTCAATTTCAACTCCAAGTACACCCATTGGCTAGGTGTTCTTGCACAACCATACAACCTGAACATTCATTTGCAGCAGCCTTGTGTTCACAGACCTTGGTGCCAAGCACATGCACTGTTAAACCATCACTCTATGCATTAAAAAAACAAAACCTCTGCCAGTTGCATAAGCATTTGTACAAAAGATAGTGTTAAATGATTAATCCTAATTCTGTTTTGTTAATGCCAGAAGGTTCACCCTAAAACAAGCAGAGATGCTTAATAAACATTTTATTAAAAACATAAGTTTCTATAATTTTCAAGTACCAACATAGTAGTATTAAAATAACTAGAACAACATATTAAGTACTAAATACTGAAGTATATTTTTTTGTTTTCATAAGAGCTTATTTTTAGCTGTTTACATTTTAAAATACCTGAAAAAATGATGTAACTCAAGGCACTATGAAGCTATTGTATTAGAGCTGTCAAGAGAGTGCATCCAGCCCAGCTGGTAGGGCTCAGTGATTGAGCAACAGCCCATGAACCAGGCAGTCATGGATCGATTCCGAGTTAGGGCACATGCCTTGGTTGCCAGCTTGATCCCCAGGAGGGGGCATGCAAGAGATGTTTCTCTCAATTTTCTACCTTTCTATCCCTTTCCCCTCCTTTCCCTAAAATAAAATATATATATATTTTTTTTTTTTAAAGGAGAGAGTACATCAATTACCTCTGATTCACTGAAACTATTATTCATAGTATATATTTTGGATTATATACTGAGAGTTGCAATAACATTAACTACTTGAGAAAATCCTTCTGACTATTTCCTATCTCACAAACCTGCTCCTTATTCTCATTATGGCCATGCTTTCTTACATTGATGCAGTAAAATTAATATCTCTATGACACCTCTGATTTTAGTGCCATAAAGACATTTTTAACTCAATTATAATCTTGGAATAAGTCTAGAAAAAAGTTACTTGGAAAAAACTATTTAGTGTATATTCAATTCTCATCTATGCCAGTAAAATGATAAAATCCAAGGTCTTCTCTATGCCCTTCCTGAAATATGAAAGATATCAAAATGTAAAAGTCTTAAGAGAAAAGTGGAGGAAGGGGGGAAAATCTGATGGGACCAAGACAATAGTGTATTTTCATCTGGATTCCCACAAAACACCTCATGTTAGAAATCCAACTAGATGAGAATTAATAGTGGAGAGGTAGAAAAAGATAAGTTGGAAAGTCCCATTGTGAATAAAACTCTGGTAGGCATTCAGCAACATTGATGAATCATTTAATTCAAAGTCACATGGAGGTTGCAAAAGCAAAAATACCAATTATCTATTTGTAATAAGGATGTATGTTCTTCTGGCAGGAAATGGTGGGCAAAGTATTACAATACATAACTCAAGCAAAAGAGAAAATTAAAATTATTTTAAATGCTCAAAATTTTTGCTATTTAATTGAACAAATCTTACTGTAATCTATCAGCCTGAGAGTAAACCAATCCTACATCTGCATAAGAGAATTAACACAAGAAACATAAAATTATTATTCTGAAAAATTCCATAAGCTTTCTGCTGAAATTGTTATTTGAAAATTGAAATTTGTGTTAGCAATTGGTAAGGTAATTTCAGACCATGGGTGGCAAAGCTGTATGTTATGCAGTAATAGACATCAGTGTGAGGGTGCAGGCATGCCCAAAGTAATGGTATTAAATAGTGAAAAATAAGTAGAACAATGTAGAGCGCTGTGACAAAGGTACCTCGTCATCATAACCCCCCTCCTTTGACTCAATCACAAATTTCCCTACGTGAGGAATCGCCACCTCTACAACTTGCTGCTTACAAGGTGGTTGGCTTGTAGCACTTTCAGGTTTCTGCAGGAAGAAATCATTAGTATGAACATTAGAAAAGAGAAGAACAATGGAAGCACCAGTTTAAGTGTAGATACTTGAGTCTTTTAAAAATATCTGCATTTGCCTAGTATAAAACAATACCACTTAAATCTGAGTATTAGAAACAAATGAATTAATACAAGATCTCCAGCTTTCCCTTTTCATCTCAAACACTAAATTAAGTTTTCATTTACTTTTTTCCCGTAAAGCATCTTGGACTCTAAATCCTTAAAAATAATAAACAGTGGAGCTGCAGTTCCTATTACTATCTTCATAGCTGAACTTTTTTGTTGTTGTTGTTGATTTTTAATTCTAATAACTCCATAAAAAGCCTTTTTGATACTTTATCTCCATTAAAATAAGATTTCTCTGCCCTGGCCAGGTGATTCAGTTGGTTGGAGTGTCGTCCCATGCACCAAAAGGTTGTGGGTTAGATCCCCGATAATGGCACGTATGGGAGGCAACCGATCTATGTTTTTCTCTCACATTAATACTTCTCTCTCTCCCCTCCTCTCTTCTCTCTAAAATCAATAAATATAATTTCGGGTAAGGATAAAATAAAAACCAAACAACAAAAAAAACCCCAAAGATATTCTTCTGAACCCAGAAGAGTTTGTAGGTTTTCCTTCGTATGATTTTACTTCTCTATCCTTTCTAGTAATCAAGTGTATATCTACTCATTATCCATACTCTATAGTGCTTAACTCACTCTGTAACAGCCTATGAGACCTAGTACCATATATTTATATCATAAGTATCCAATGAATTTTTGTTTTTTTAAAAGCTGCAAGATACTATTTTTAACCAATCAGATTTCTTTCTTTTTCTTTTCTTTAACAAAGACTATAAATTTCACTAATCGACACTAAGAGTGGAAGGTAGCATGAAATCCAGAAAAGTCTACTTGAAGACACTAATGCAGCTCATTCAAAATCTGCTCAGATCTTATTTTACTGTATAGATTTGTAACTAGCATATTTAGTATTTACGTATGAACAAAGTTCAAAAGTACCTAAAATGCTTCAATAAAGCTTGCTTGAGTAATTTTAAATTGCACCATAAAAGTTGTCCTAAGCAAAAATAAACTTAATTTTTTTTAAAACTTTACTTTTGATATTAAACAGAAAACTTTAATAAATAAAGGGTTTTATTTCCATTTAAAGGTACGTTTTAGAGATGTGAGCACATTCTGATTTTCCAGAAGTACATTTGCAGAAAGAATTTAATTAAACAATAAAATAAAACTAATGACCAAGACTGGCACTGTTCCTTTTAAAAGAAATGTTATTTATAAATAACATTTTTAGAAAAGGTTTCCTTCGAGTTCTTCATTTTTCAAGGAAAAATAATGAGCTTGTATGTTTGCCATGATCATGAGATAATATTCAGGTTACCCCACACCTGGGACATAATTGTTGCTCTATAAATGACAGGCATTACCAATATTATTATACTACTAGAGGCCCAGTGCACAAAATTTGTGCACAGAGGTGGGAGTAGGTGAGGGGAAGGGTCCCTCAGCCCGGCCTGCACCTTCTCGCAATCTGGGACCCCTCAGGGAATATCCAGCTGCTGATTTAGGCCAGATTTCGCAGGGATCTCTGTGGGATCCGGCCTAAACCTGCAGTCGGACATCCCTCTCGCAATCCTTGACTGCTGGCTCCTAACCGCTTGTCTGCCTGCCTGCCTCATCACCCCTAACCACTCTCCTGCCTCCCTGATTGCCCCTAACTGCCTCTGCCTGGGTCCCCACTGCCACAGCTTCATCCAGAAGGATGTCTGGAATGACGTCTGTAAAGTCGTTCGGCTGTACCATCTAATTAGCATATTATGCTTTTATTATTACAGATTAATACTATTTTAAATTGCTTACATTAGAATAATTCTAACCCAATATTACCATCACAAATATCCTAGAAGATATGTTTATTATGTAGTAATAAATGTCCTAGGTCTCCATTCATAAAAGTAAAATAAGCAGATAAATTAAGAAATCTGTCTGGACACAGTGGTAAAAAATTTCTCACAAGAACACCAATCCCAAACAATACTGTCTTAAGAAGAGAAAGTATAGGGTGTCCTCAAAAAATGTACATCACACATTTAATAATGAAAAAGGCAGTGTGTATTAAAATACAATTCATTTTCAAAATTGAGCTATCAGCTGTTAAATGTAAATGCACTTTTTGGGACACATGACAAATTTACAGCAAGTAGCAACTAGAAAATGTATTCCTTAGAATACTGATCCTTACACAGTCCCATTGGGGAAAAAATGTAGTTAAGAAAAAAAATCAGGGTTTTATAAACCTTTCCAGTTACCACAGAAGAGTTTCAACAGCATAATACTGATTAATTATATGGGTAAAAGTTGAAAAACGGAAATAGCTTGGGTGCAGATAATAATTCTGTAGGTATTGTTGTTCTCACATTTAGATATCCTAAGGTACCATAAAAAATGTTCATATAAAGAATTTAAGGGTTCACTGAAGTAAAATAGAGGCATATTTATCTTTTCCAATTACTATCGTGTCCTGTATAAACATCTTAACCAAGGATGAATCTGAAAGGGTTAAAAATAAGTTTCTCAGTTAAAAAGTTGCAAAAATAATTAAATACAAAGATTTTTATTGACTGCTTAAAAGCCATCCTATATAATAAAAAGCTAATATGCTAATTAGACTGGACAGTGGAACGACCTTCCGAAACGACCTTCCAGAATGACCAGTGAGGGGGTTTGCAAGGCAGCCGGGGCTGTGAGGGCTGAGCCCCTTGCACGAATTTCGTGCATCGGGCCTCTAGTTAAATATTATCATTTTTTTGAAAGCAGTCACATAAAAGGTGGTTAAAGCACTATATCATCTCATCACTTTTGTTCCCCTTAATATGCTCATATCACTTTAACCAAGTAATTCAACTATGAGGAAGCTGAAGAAATAACCTAACATATGAAGAAAGTTTCATTTCTAGCAGCCCCTTTAGAATAATGTAAAAGTAGAATTGAATATGGGGGATAGGTAAGTAAACAAGAATCTAATCACTCAAAGGAATAATACTCAACCTATAAACTTTTTTAAAGAGTTTATAACATGGGAAACGGTTAAGTTATAATGTGATTTTTAAAAAGCAAATTTAAGATATGAAATTTTATATGCAGTAATAACTCAACTATAAAGATAAATTCTAAACCTGTATATAAAAATAAGAATAGAAGAAAACATACTAACATATTCATAGTGTTTAACTTTGAGACTACGCATGTTTTTTTTGGGAGTCCACTTTTCTGTATATTTCAAATTTCCTGAAATATTTCATTTAAATTTGAGTACATTCTCCCAAAAAGCAAGCTGTATAACATTTGGAGAGTATCTCTCCATGGTTTCTGTGCGTCTAAGCTTTCCAGGGAATTCTTCTTACAGTAAGGTTGGAGCTTAATATACTGTATATTTGTGAAATGGTTAGAACTTAAACAACAAAAGAAAACTAACAGTTACGTAGTGCCTACACTACAAGCTAGGCATTTTTAAAAAATGATCTAAAGTAACCTCAAAATCACCTCTGTTTTATATAAAAGAAAACTGAGATTTAGAGAAATTAAGCAACTTATTCAAGTTTGCATAGCTAGTAAGAAGTAAAACCAATATTCAAAAATCAAGACTATCTAATCACAAAGTCTGCAGACTCTTTTCATCTATGCAATTTAGTATCTAAAGCAGAGATTTAAATGAGAAAACCCAATGGTGGTTACCTAGAGCCTAAGCAACTGACCATGAGACCAAGAACACAGGCTGCTTCAGACAGCCATGTTAACACATTCTTAGGCATGTTGCAAGATTTATATAGGCAAAGGTGCCAAATATTGGTGCTGTACCAAAAAATAAGGCAAACAGAAAAATATTTATGCTAGCCATCTATCATATTATCTCCATGTCATCCTCCTTTCTCAAGTAAAGGTGAAGCAGTAGGTTGTTAGCTTATAAAACGATATCCATATTAATAAGCTAAGCAATCAAAATTTAAGTGATTTCTGCAAATTTAAATTACACATGATTAGACAAACAAAAACAATCATGATTCTACGTTAAGCTAAATAATGCTTTTAGGCTTTCTGATATCAGTTAAAAGAATGCTATTTATTAACCATAATGTAAGCTCTAACAAATAAAATTCCTAATTAGCAAAGGCCCTGACAAGTCATTTTTTTTACTGGTAAAAATATTTCTCCTGTGCACCTACTTCTCAGCCCTTTCTCGCTCCCTAGTTTTCCTGTTCTACCATTCCCCAAGAACTACACAGCTCAGGACCATTAGAAGAAGTATTTGCCAACAAGTGCTCTATTGTTCGTAGGTGTTCATCTCAAACTCATTCAGAGTCTCTAGAGCATTTGCAAAATTTGGTTAGATAAAAAAATGATATTAATACATAATTTTTATGGTAAGATGATATATAATCAAAATTATTCAAACAGAAAATAACTTTAAAAACTAATTCCTGATTATTTCATTCATTAAAACAACACCCTATTAAATGGACATTTTGGTTAATTGAGGTCTTATATTAAAGACCTCAGTGCATTTAGCAATTAAGTAGAAAACTACATTGAAAAATTATATCTCTTGTTCTCTTTAGTTCTCTAGAGGAGAATCGTCAAATATTAACATTAGCTATCATGAAACCTATACTAGAGCTGCTTGTGCTAATAAAATAAGATGATGGCAACTGAATTTTGTAATACCAAATTCTTGAAATAGCATATCCCAGAATGTCATAGTCACTGAAAACATAGTGCAATACCAATGTGCTCAATTTATTGTTATAAAAAGACACAACTGAAAACTACCAACAGAAGAATTATCGTGACAATTTTGAACGGAACACTACTGAAATATGCATAAACCATAGTGTAAGATAATATTTACTACTCTAACCTAAAGTATCTGGTATTTTATTGTTAAACACATTCCATGCAACAAAGAAAATTATTCCTTATTCTAAACTATTCCAATGTAGTAAGACTAGAGATTGAGGGAGGCGTGAGAAACACAGTTGACCCTTGAACAACATGGATTTGAACTGTGCAGGTCCATTATATGTGGATTTTTTAAAATAAATACTGTAAATGTATTTTCCTTCAGATTTTCTTAATAGCATTTTCCTTTCTATACTTTATTGTAAGAATATAGTATATAATACATATAACATAAGGAATATGTATTAATCGACTGTGTATATTACCAGTAAGGCTTCTGGTCAATAATAGGCTATTAGTAAAGCTGTTGAGGAGTCAAATTTTAAACTTGAATTTTTAACTGCTCAGAGGGCTGGCACCCTAACCCCCATGTTGTGCAAGGGTCAACTTGTAATGCTAAATGTTCTAGTTCTCTTTTTAATTCCCAATCAATGACCAATTTAACCTATAACTGTATTTTTCATAATTCTCAAACAGGAAATTAGTAACATTTTTAAAAAGAATAATTTTTTAACATTATAGAGGAAAAAACTACAGCTGGGGTGTTAGGTGATGCCCCCAGTCACTGTTCATGTGGATGAAGAGCCCATGGCACTGCCTCCCCTGACTCCCAGAGAGCTCACTGTCCATCACAGAGCTAGGAAACGTCATGAACATGGCAATGCTCAGAGGGGGAAAAGAAAAGTTCTTACCGTCTGCAAAACTGTTTCAGGACTTTTATCTTCGTGATCACTTGATGCCTTGGTAATTGTTCGAATAGTTTCTTCTTTCAAGTGCTTTGAGAAATCACTTCTTGATGGCTGCTCTAGATATTCTGGTTCTCCTGCTTGTGCTTCATGAGAAAAGAATCAACTGTATATCTAATAAAACCAGAGCATCTATACTAAAATTACTCTATTATTTATTTCTAATTCAAAGTTAGGCAACCATCAATTTTATATACATACAACACTTCTCCCAGAATTAATAAAAAATCCAAAAGTAATCAAATAATTACTGAAAAAAGTACCCATTACAGTTTATGACACAGAAATCACAGTAATTTTATTTGCACTAAATCCCAAAATCTCATTTTAAAAACCACTAGCGTTCTACAAAAAACAAACAGAGAGGATTTGGTTTGTACAGCAATCCTGGCCTACCTGGCCGAGGTCTCCACAGAGAATATCAGCTGTTTTTCTGGCTACACTATCCTTTTCCACACCTGCCTGACAAAACGCTAACCCTGAAGGTGCCCAATCTTCTCTTTTTTTCTAAACCTGCCCCTGGTAGCTGAGTGCTGTCAGGGAAAATAACAATTACTCATTGGCAAATTGGTACTAAAATAAATTCAAAACTTCAAATACCATCCCTGCTAAGAACTCCCAAAATGATATCCACGACCCATGTTCTGACGTTAAGACCAACAGATGCAAGTGTTCTTTGAATATTTACTGGGTGATTCATAGAAAACGCCAAAGATTTTAAGGGGCCGTTTCTTAGCTCTCCGACGTAATCTTGTGTCTTTTGCTCAAAAGGAGACTATACTAGCTTTTTCAGCTTACTGAATACATCGAGAGATCGAGTTCCAACCTTAGATCTTTCCTTATTTTCCTCCCTCTGGCTATATGTTTACTCACTCTCACTCCCTCATCTAATAACTAATTCATCCTTTTGTTTAAATACCACTTCCCTGTAAAAGTATTACTGGTTACAACATATCTCGGACCACTGGCATTTGGTGTGGAAGGCTGTCCTGTACTTCCTTGGCATTTACCCACGAGATGCCAACAGTACTGTTCCTAGGTGTGACTTCCATTGTTGTCAATGCCCTTAGGGGACAAAATCACTCCCAGATGAGAACCATTGCTCTAAACTAACTTACACTCTCTTATTAATAGCACTTATCACAATTATAACTTAATTATTATAGATATGTTTCATGCCTATATCCCCTGCTGGATGTAAGAGTGGGGATGTTATCTCCCCTTTGTATTGCTATTTCTTCAACACCTACCACATCATAAAGCACACAATAAATTAATGGAACAAATGAATTAATAAGATTATGAATGAATATAAGGAAGAAAAAAGTACACTAAAACATCCCACGTTATTCGAACTAACTGAGTCCTTCCTCAACCAACCGGTAGGACACAACAGGGCTCCTGTCATCCTTTCCAATATTTGCTTAATTAAAAAAAAAACAACTCTCCAAGTAAAATATCATTCAAAAAGAAGTACTATAATTTCAAATATGTACAGCCATTCATTTATCCAATAAAATTTAATAAGCATGTAATTACGTGCCAGGCACTAGACTAGTATTGAGTGCAAACAATATAGCCAGTGTCTGCTCCATGAAGTTGGCAGTCAACTATGGAAAAAGTCATTAACCAAAGAATCACACATGTGAATTGTGATACTATTACAATAATACATTCTAGCAATAAAATGGAGGGGTGACTTAAATGATGGGATTTGAAATAAAGTGACTCTTTTGCTGGATGGAAGAATGAACAGCCCAGGTAATGAGCATGAGCTGGATCTGAAAGGTTAGTGTGGCTGGACTACAGCACAAGAGATATGAAAGTGAAAGAATGTTTTCAATACAATGGCAGCATGGCAAGTTTTAAAAAATGTATTCCAGCTACACTGTAAAGAATGGATTAGAGAGGAGAGTAAAATTGGAAATCAGTGAAGGGATGAGATCAGTATGAACAAGAGAAGACAGCTTTTGCTAAACAGAGATAGCAACGTGGTAGAGAAAACTGGGTAGATTCAAGTACAGTTTGGAAATAAACAGCATGGAGACTGAATGTGAAGATGACTCCAAGTTTTTGGCATGAGTAAGGAGGGTGATAGAGGTGAAATATAGTCTAGTGGGGAAAACTAGAGGGAGGAATGCCTATATTGTGTGATGGGCAGAGAAGCTAAAATAAATTAAAGTTCTCATTTCTGTACTTTGTGACTGGGCTGCAATGTTCTTTCGGTGCTCCTGTATAATGAATGAGGTAAAGAAAATCTTAGGCTACATCTCCAGCTTTAGCAGGGCTTCTGTTTTTGGTAGGTGTCATGGTTAACTGACCTAAGCCAGCTTATTTAGGGCTTATCAAAGAACCTTCTCATTGATAAAGATTTTACCTGTGTTTGCCCCCTTTGTCTATTCTCACTGTAATAGATAAAACATCAATGGCCGGTAGTAGCATGTGAACTTAATGCTGTGAGGGCCATGAAATCTATCTGGTCTGACACTTGTCTAAATCACCAAAATCCCTAAGTTCTTAGAAGCAAAAGTAATTTTGTCTAATCGAAACGATCAATATATCTTAGGTTATCAAGGTCAAGGTTTCCTTCTACATAGGAATTTGAGTCCAAAGACCTTATGAGTAATGCTGAATGGTTTTGTCTAATTGTCACATAAAAAGAACAATTTCCTCTAGAGTTTTCCCTGTGTATAATCTTCCAGGGAATATATCTGAATGGTTCTGTAGTCATAGTAAGTGAACCTATAACGATTTGAGATCTGGGAATTTGAAAATAAAAACCCACACTTCATTCTCAAATATATTTATTGAGCCGGTGCCATTTTCAGTACTCAGCTTGGTATTAACAATGAAAAAATAAAGACATAAAATTCACTCACTTTAAGGAATTCTCAATAAAATCAGATAAATATATACTGCATTACAATAGAAAGTACTAAATGCAATATTGACCCAGTGATCCCAGTCTAGGAATATATCCCAAGAAAATAGAAACACCAATCAGAAAGGATATATGCACCCCTATGCTCATAGCAGCACCATTTACCATAGCTAAGATTTGGACATAGAATAAGTGCCCATCAGCAGACGAGTGGACTGAAAAACTGTGGTACATCTACACAATGGAATGCTACACTAAGGTAAAAAACAAGGAATTTTTACCATTTGCAACAGCATGGATGGAACTGGAGAGCATTACGCTAAGTGAAATAAGCCAGTCAGAGAAAGATAAATATCACATGATCTCACTCATTTATGGATTATAATGAACAACATAAACTGATGAACAAAAACAGATCCAGAGACAGAGAAGCATCGATCAGACTGTCAAACCTCAGAGGGAAGGTAGGGGAGGGTGGGGGTAAGGAGGAAAGATCAATTAAAGGACTTGTATGCATGCACACAGGCCTAACCAGTGGACATGGACAACAGGTGAGTGAGGGCATGAGTGGGGGGATGAGGGGGCAATGGGGCAATAAGAACACATATGTAATACCTTAATCAAGAAAAGAGAAAAAAAAGAAACACCTTCTAGAAGAAATGCCAACTGGGCTGAGTCTTGAAGGATTTGTGGAGAGGATTATCTTGGATATGGGAAAAAGATTCGAGGAGAAGGAATAACATATGCAAAGGCATTGCAAAGACAGATAAAAGATTAATAAAATCCTGGCTGTTAATGAGTCTCTACACTTCATGTCTTTATTTTAAACAAATTAGAATACAAATACAACATAAATTTGATAGTGAAAATAGATTAGAATTAAGAAGAAAAAGATAATAAATAATACAGAGGTAATTTTATGGGGGTTCATAAACAATTTGAGAAAGGTCTTAAAGAATAGAATTTCAAGAATATTGATAGAGGACATTTAAAAAATGAAGGATTCTTGATGAACAATGATAGGAAAGTTCCCTAAAGCAAGAGTATTGGGTAATAATCTAGTTTAAATAAAACATAAGGTATTCATAGTGAAGCAGTCTTGGAAGAATTACAAAGGAGTCAGATTATAACGATGGGTCCGCATAACAAAAATAAATTTCGGCTTCATTTTGTCAAACCAGAAGAGTACAAAACATGCTGAGAACAAAAAACCAAAATGAAAATAATAAAAAGCTCTTTCTGCTACTCAGACATAAGCATTGTTAATATTTTTTAGTATTACATAATTCCAGACTTCACATACCCACATTTTTCAAGCAAAAATAATAATACTGAATATTTTAAACTTAATATAATAAACATTTTCATGTTAATATATTTTTTTACTGGTTATACTGTATTCTTCTGTCCAGAGGGCCCATGAAACTAGTACCCAACCATATAACTAGGCAATTTCCATTTATTTGTAAAAAAAACCCAAAAACAACAACAAAAAGAGAAAGAGTTAGTTTTGTGTGTGTGTATGTGTGTGTAAATACACACAATGATTTATCTTCACCCTATGTACTCCTACAGAAGCCTCTTCATTGCTGGCCTATACAAATGGTAGGCACTTTATATACTAACTGGTCCCTCCATTTAATGTTTAATGTAATTTTCAGGCTTTAACTTGGATTACACCTGGTGATTACTTGCATATCACTTATTATTCTTACTTCCTGGATGTCTACCTTGGTTCCCTACCTACAGCTACAAACTCCTAAACATACTCATTTCATCATACGTGACCAGTTCTCTCTGGAGGGATATAATACCCCTGTACCTAAAGTAACTCTCAAATCATTGATTTGTTCTATGGTTACTTCATTGACATTTTGTATGGCCATGTTCTATGTTCATAATGAAGGGGGCTTCATTCACCAGTTTGGTTGTTATAGACCAGCATTCTGAGAGCACTCTGAGCCTGTTCCTTTGGTCCACTTTCATGTTGAAGTAAAAGATCGGGGGGGCTTGGACACATTCTACTTAAGCATATTTCCTGGTTATGTTCTTCAATATTTTAAGAGGAGAGTCAACTTGACAACCATTTGGTTTTCTGTTAAAGTGTAAGGATCTGCTCTTTAATCAACTACTAAAAAAAGGCAACATCTCATATCTTACAGAAATATCTAAAATCTTGATTTACTAATGAGTCATACTTATTAC